TGGCATCCAGTCCCATCACTTCATGGCAAGTTAGAAGGGTAAAAATGGAAGCAATGACACACTATTTTCTGTGGATGGTGACTGCAGCCATGAAATTAAAAGATGCTTGCTCCTTGGAAGAAAAATTATGACAAACTTAGTGTATTAAAAAGCAAAGACATCACCATGTTTTTCCCAGTAGTCATGTATGGATGTGAGAATTGGACCATAAAGCAGGCTGAGCGCCAAAGAACTGATGCTGTCAAACTGTGGTAATGGAGACAACTCTTGAGAGTCCCAGGGTCACAGCGGCACTATTCAGACCACTGACATGGGCTTGCCCTTGACCAGACTCTGCTTGGGGTCCCCTGAGCTGTAATTCGACCAGGAGATCAACCCAGTCAATCCAAAAGGAAAATCAACATTGAATATTCATTGGAAGTACTGATGGTAAAGCTGAAGCTCCAATACTTTGGCCACCTGATGTGAAGAGTCAACTCATGGAAAAGACCTGAGGGTGGGAATGATTGAGGCCAAGAGGAGAAGGAGGTGACAGAGGATGAGATGGTTGGATGGCATCACTGACCCAATGGACATGAGTTTGAGCAAGCTCTGCGAGTTGGTGATGGACAGGGAAGTCTGGCCATAATGATGTAGTTCATGGAGTCACAAAGAGTCGGACATGACTTAGTGACTAAACAACAGCAACTTCACCGAAATTGAAAACTTTTTTGTTTAAAAGAACACTCTCAAGAAAGTAAAAAGAAAATCCATGGAATCAGAGAAAATATTTGCAAATCATGTATCTGATAAGGAATGCATCTAGAATATCCAAAAACCTTTTATAATTCACTAACAAAAGACAGAAACTGTAATAACAAAATGGTCAAAAATTTAAATTGCTATTTCTCCAAAGAAGATATACAAATGGAAAATAAGCAAATGAATAGGTGCTCAGTGTCATATGTCACTAAGGAAATGAATAACAAAGCCACGTGAGATCTTGGCCCAGATGAGAACCACTGTGCTAAATAGACAGACAACAAACGTCAGCAAGATTGTGGAGAATAGAACCTCACTTGTGACCAGGTGGAACGTAAAATGGTGCAGCCTTTTTGGAAAAGAGTTTGACAGAACCTCAAGATAACAGGAGGTTACACGTGGCCCAACAACCCCACCCTAGACAAGTACCCAAGAGAACAGACACATTTTCACCAAAAACATGCACAAGAGGAGTCACAGCAGCACGACTCACACCACTAACACGGACGTGCCCTGACCATCCGCTCGGGGTCTGCACCAGGCCCCCCACGGGCTCCCTCGCCCATCTCTGCACTGGCCGCACCGTCAAGAGTCCTGCCCAGTATGTCTGGCCAGAACATCCCCTCCAGTTCGGCCAGGCCCCTCAGCCCTCCCTGGCCCCAGGGGCGCCTGAGCACTTGGCTGCCCTCAGCACGAGTCCCCGCGCGGTCCTGTCAGAAGTCACGCCCGTCACACTGGGCTGTCTCCTCCTGGCGATGTTCCGCCCGCCAGCCCCTCCCCTGGCTCCTCAGCCGTGAATCTGCGCCTTTCTTCTGTGCTGTGTTCGGACCTGGGCCCCGCCTCCTGCCCCCAGCGTGGAGTCCCACCTGGGGTCTCTGCAGTGGGCTCGAGCAGGTGCCACACACGACACCCCAGTGAACAGGGGTCTGAAAGCGAGGGGCCACATCCCCTCAGAGGGTTCTGCAGTGAGGGCGGAGGGCTGACCCGCGCGACAGCCTGGACGTGCCTCGGAAACAGCGGCTGCGTTGAGGTGAGGGGTCACAGAGGCGGACTGCCTCCGTGGCCCGGTCACGGCGACACAGAGTGGACGCGCCGTGCCATCGGGGGAGGTGGGAGGGGAGGGACGGGAGTGAGGGCAGGGGTGCTTTCTCAGGGAGACGGAAGGGCCTCAGGACTAGATTGTGGCGAGGTTTACACACCTCGGAGGTGTGTAAAACCAATGGACTTGTGCAGTTTAAATGGGTGAATCCTACAGCATGTAAATCAGACCTCAGGAAAGCTGTTAAAACACTCAGTGAATAACACTTGTTAAATTAGAAATATCTATAGATGGGAATTTTCATGACTGCTTTTAAAAGAACACGTATTCCACCAAATGGTGATGTGTATTTTCTGAAAAAGAGAACTTCATGGAAGTAAGATCAGGCAGTGCTGGGTAAAAATGCCCCTCCGGTGTTTGCTGGGCAGACTCTCAGCATCCCGGGGGTGGGAGTTTGGGTCGTTTTGCTCAAAGACTTAAGTTCACCCACGGGCCCCAGGAGCGGAGAGGGGCTGCTATTACTTCTCACTCTCAACGGCTTAGTTCCTTTCCAGGAGGCAGGCTGCTGAGGCCAGGGGCCTCCAACCAGGCCCCAGGGAGGGGGGCCCACGCGAGCCCCTCCGGGGCAGGGAGGGATGGGGTGGGCACAGCCGAGTCAGTGCTGGACGGAGCCTGGCCTAAGCTGTCCCATGGGTCCCTGAGGGCCTCTGGGAAGCTCTGTCTGTGTGGGTCGTCCACTCTCTGCGAAGCCTCTTTCAGACCCGCGGGGGAAGCCCACCTCTCCCCACCTGCCTGTTCCCCTTCCACCCAAAGCAACCCCGGGGCCCTTCTGTAGGTTATGCTGTTGAGGTCAAACTTGGTCTGTGTGTTTAGGGCCAGTCACTGCCCTTTTTCTTGGTCTGAAAACAGGGTGCTAAGCTGCTAAACAATGTGTACCCCCTTTAGGAAAAATCAAAGAGAGTATACAGACTTGTCAATTGAGTGATCCAGGAAGTAGCAATTCATCCTACTGCAACACTCTCTCCTTTTTTTGTTTTACCTGAAGGCTCTCTGAAGTTCTATTGGATGGGATTCCTGATGCATTTCGAACGTCCTCCAGTTTCCCGAGTGCACAGGATGGACTCCCAGGCACAGCTGCCTCTGGCCAGCTGCACACCCATCTCCAGCAGGTCTGACCCAGCTCCAGCACCCTCCCTGGCAGCCTCGTCCTCCTCACCGTTCCCTCTTCCACGCTGCTGTCGAGCAAACCAAGGCAACCTGAATGCCCATGAGTCAGATCAGAGGGAGAATGCCCCCTTTCTGACTGCAAAGCCTCTAGAAAGTTCAGTAGGATGGCCTGCAGCCCTTGGCAGGCTTCTGGATGAAGCGTCACATCTGCGTGGTGACTACTTCCCGCCGTGACTGCTGTCCTGCCCCGTCCTGCCCTATCTGCCCCATTCCTGGGCTCCTTCGGACTTCTGACTAGGCAGGCTTCTGCCTCCAGGCCCCCCTGCCCTTCAGAGCCTGCTCAGTGATATGCTGGAGCATTCATGGTGCTGTATTGCACCATCCACTGTCCACCATCCTCCAGGCTCAGAAGGCGGACACCGTCCAGCTGCAAAGGTGTGAGGGCCACAGAGTGGCTGAGAGCTAAGGGCAGCAGGCCCTCCAGGGGAAGAGGGATGGGGCAGCACTGGCCACAGAAATGAGCTTCCATGGAACACTGGCGGCAGGCGAGGAGCCCAGCGGCCAGGCTGCCACTAGAGTGAACAGTCTAGTCCAGCCTGCACTGCAGCTGTGCAGACCGACGCCTGGAACAGGCCTTCGAGGGCCAGGCCCCTGTGTCCTGGGCAAGGACAAGCCTCCAGGGCTGGAGGAGGGGTGTCCATGCCATCTCCACTCGGCAGAAGGGATCTCATGCATCAGCGAGCCAGCCAACATCCAAGCCCAGTCGTGGACTAACCTGCTGCTCTAGAGTTATCAGGCCCAGGGCTGCAGTGTCACGGATCCGCAGGACAAAGCTCCGTCTTGAAATCTGGGAGGACCGTGGACAAAAGCAGGGAGACCTGGACTCTAAATGGAGACTCAGGGCAGAAGCCCCCACTCACGTCCACCCCTGCCAGCTGACTGTGAACCGTGGAGCTTCTGGGGGCTTCTGAGAGCATCTGCTAAAGGGAGGATGTTTCAGGTTTAATTAGATAATGTTCCCTTGTGGCTCAGCTGGTAAAGAATCCGCCTGCAATGTGGGAGACCCGGGTTCGATCCCTGGGTTGGGAAGATCCCCTGGAGAAGGGAAAGGCTACCCACTCCAGTATTCTGGCCTGGAGAATTCCATGGCCTGTATAGTCTGTGGGGTCACAAAGAGTTGGACACGATTGAACGACTTTCACTTCACTTCCCTTGAGTATGTCCTGAAATGCTGTTAATGGAATTCAATTAAAGGGAATTCAAGTTCAATCAACTTGGCAAAAATGCAGAGTCCCCACTCCAAATAAGGCTCTATAAAGGCCAGGACCAGCAGCCCTTTGAGAAATGTGTGAGCTTTTAGACTTTAAAAGGTTGGTTTGGTGTTAGGAGCTGTTGAAATCCTGTTGTCACTCATTGAAATCATCAGAATTAATTTAGGATTTGACGGCAAACTGAGTCAGTTGAAAGCAGGAAACATGGAGGAACAATTCACCACAACAAGGAACGCGGTTCCACTTCACTTACTGCTCATGAGAAAGGAAGAGCTTCACCTGGGAGGCTAAGTGATTCCCAAATGCTCGGTAAACGTGCTGCTTCTCTGTGGGTCTGAAGAGCCCTCCATCACTCTCCGCCGAGGTCCTGCTGCCTGGGGGCCTGACACCTCGAGCGGGGAGCAGAGAGCTGCATGACCACTGACCACCTCGGGTGGGTGGCGGGGTGGGGACTAGGAACCCATGAGGACGCAGGATGACCTCATCGTCATCCTCTGAGATTTGTTTGTGAAAATGAGCTTGAACAAATAGCTATCTCATCATCCATTTTAGCTCTCAGATGCGAGGCATTTTCCTTCCCACAGACAGCTACGATGGAGACACCTCACGGTGCATCTGCTCTGTGGTGGGTGAGGGCAGGACCTGGTGGTAAGTGCAGGCACGGCCGTTGCAGCCTGCAGCACCACCCCCAGGCCGGCACCTGCACATCCCTCCACTGTGGGCAGTCCCCCAGGGCGCTGTCAGCAGCCCGGGGCCTCCGGCCGAGTTCTCCTGGGACTCACCGCCGAGGGCTTCCAGCCATGTGTCCTGGCAAGACCATGGGCCAAGGTCTGCTCTGGGCAAGACCCTGGATGTGGCTTCCTGTCCTCCTGAGTCAGATCATCTGTCCATTCTGAGATATGGGGCCCCGAGGACAGCCGTGCGAGTGACCTGGGAATGGGACTTCACCCCAGACAGTCTTGAGGGGCAAGAGGGGACCCTGGGCTACTGGAAACACTCGCTACATTGACACGGTGAGAGTTCGGAGGCTATGTGTGCACACCAGTGGGTCAGACCCCACATTCATGCCCTCATTCAGGCCCCAGCGACACAGAGGAGACCAGGGCTGTGGGATGGGGAGGGAGGGGCGGCCAACTAGGCCAACGGGAGACGCACGTCTGTCCCAGCTCACAGGCTGGCGTCCACTGGGGGAGAGGAGGCCCCTGAGAAGCTTTCCTTTCTGTCCACATTGAAGTTGGCACTGGGGTTGCAGACTCTTCTTGTCGCTTGGCCCAAGTGAAAGGGCAGAGATCCAAACAAGGCCGTCTTGGGGATTAGAACATTTGGCTTGGAGGCTGGGAAGGGGCTGGACCCAGGCGTGAACATGTGGGCAGTCGGTGGTGGAGGACAGAGGTGGGCTGGGTGGGCAGCTCATGGGAAGGAAGTGGGGTCCCAGTGACGGCAACACTCAGATGGGTGAGGTCCCCGAGAGGCGGGGTGGTACCCCCACCTGCCTGCCCGCCTGTCTGCAGCGAGGCACTCAGACAGAGACGGACGTGGCTTGCGCCCTTGGTGCAGGTTTGCATGCCCTCCTGCCCCCTGGACGGGGCTGGGGGACGGCTGCGAGCGTGGACAGACCGACGGCCACCATCTCCTCACATGCCCACGAGCTGGGCTGCCAGTCCTGGAGAGGCCCAGGTGTGGCTCCGCCAATCCCTTCTTTACTGGCTCTGAGGTGTTTACTGAGGCTAATTTCTGCCCTTCCGTGGTGCTGTGACTCCAGGGCCATAAATCTCCCCAGGCCCCGCTGGGAGGCGGGAGTTCAGGTAAAGCTGCAAGAGCCTGGCAGCCACACAGTCTCTCCCACCGCGAGTTCTGTGTTGCTACCATTTTGGACTCTGTGGAAGGTGGCCTTTACCCATAGTTTATGCACAGGAGAAGGTGTGGACCTAAACATAACACACAGCAAGCAGTAGCCCAGCTCCCAGAAAACATCTACGGCCACTCACTGTTCACTTAAAGAAAAGCTTAGTCACAACTAGATGCCCTCTCAGAAGCACTGGCCTCTGAGAGGTTTGAGAATCTCCTACACTTCCCTTGCCGCCTGGGTCAAGCCAAGAACAGCAGCTGGTGACTCCTGGGAGGAGGCCCCGCAGGTGAGGGGCTAGGCCCAGGTGGCCCCAGGCAGGCCGCGCGGCCCCGGGCAAGTCTCTCCTGTCCCACAGGCAAGGGGCTGGGTCCAGGTGGCCCCGGGAAGGTCTCTCCTCTCCCGCGGGGTTTCTCGTCCTGACCAACATCAAACGAGGCCCTCTTCCCAGTGCGGGGGGCCCGGCCGCTGCAGGAAGCGTGACCTCGTTCTCTGAACTTGCCTGTCATTTCTCCTAAAACACACCCAGTTACATTTTCCTTGTTAAGCAGCAAGCAGTAATGAGTAATTTTAATTTAAAAACTTTTCTCAGACTATAGCATGGAAGTCATTAAATTCACTACTATGACTATGGCTGCTTTCGTTCTGATCATTTTGTGTAAAGACTAAGAAACAGAAAACTGTCTCCAACACAGGGCGACAATCCGCACGAGAACAGACACGTGAGCCTGTGTCCACCAGGTGAAGGCCCAGCCTCACGCTGCGCCCCTGACACGTACAGGCCCACACAGGCCCCCAAGCACGTGGGACACAGCAGATTGCCACCCCTGCACATCTGAGGTGACAGAGTCAGGAGTGGTGGTGTGTCTTCAGTCTCCCCAAACCAACATGCATGCCCACACACGGGCACACACGCCCACACACATACACACACTCCCGCACATGCACACATGCACAGGCATGCACACATGCCCCCACACACACATGCACACACACGCGCGCACATGCACAGGCATGCACACATGCCCACACATGCACACACACACAGGCATGCACACAGAGATGCATACACATGCACACACGCACAGGCATGCACACACGCCCACACATGCACACACACAGGCATGAACACGACCACACACACACACACCAACATGCACACACACCCGCACATGCACACAAGCACAGGCATGCACACATGCCCCCCCACACCAACATGAACACACACCTGCACATGCACACACACACAGGCATGCACACACATACACACACTCCATGCACAAGCACACACACACATGCACAAACATGCACACATGCACACACATGCACAGACACATTTTACCTTCCAGTTTCTCTGGGAAGCGTGTACATTGTCCTCATAGTCGTCCAGCCAGAGTAGGAGAGAGGCTACCAGCTCCGTCCACAGGCAGTGGCACAGACACACGTGTCCATGTTTGCTCTGAGCAGTGTCCGTCTGTCTCTGCCTGGACCTGGTGCTGCGATGGGCACTTACAGACACAAGTAGAAGGTGACCATCCATGAGGGGCACAGTGGGTGACTTCTGCCGCCCGTGAAGTCCTAATGAACAATATGCTCTCTGCTTCGTGGAGAACAGAGGCCCGTTGGAGAGCTGACCACTCTGTGTGTGCAGAGCCTCCACGCTGCCGGCGGATCCAACCCAGGTCCCAGCTCTGGCTGGGGTCGAGTGGTGTGCCCGGTGTCCTGGGGTCTCTCCCTGCAGGGGCATTATGCGGGGCTCTGCGATGGTCACACACTGTTTCTGCCTGGAGCTCCTTCCATTGGGGGCAGCTGTGGGCCCGAGGCCTGCTGGACAGTCCTCCCTCTCAGTCTCTCTGTCTGGCCCACCCGCCCCAGGCTTAAGCCCCCGCCAACCCCCCAGGGCTCATCCCAAAGGCCCTGTGAAGCCTCCAGCCCTCTGTCTATGGCCTCCACCCTGTTTCCTGCAGGTTCAACTTCCCCAGACCCCCTCAAGAAGCTTCTGCTTCCTGCCTCCTCCCCACGCCCCAACCCACGATGTCCTTGTGTAACCGAAGATTTATCTCCTAAAAGCAGATACGGGCATGGCTCTCTGCCTTTCGTGTAGCTGTCTTTTGTGCTTAAAATCCAGACCACAGCGGCCACACAGGGCTGCCTCTCCCGCGTCTCCGAGTCCTGCGCCAGGACCCCTCCTAGCGCTCGTCTTGGACTGGTGACTGGGACACCGCGGAGCAGAGCTGAGTGCACGCGGGATGCTTCTCGGGCAGAAGCTCGAGATGGAGCTCAGCTCTGTAAGGGTGCAGGGAGCACACGTGGGCTCCCGCCAGCAGCACCTGGGGCTGCCGGGGCCTGCTGCCGGCTGGGGGCCGGGGAGGGCCCAGGCTGCCGGCCAGGAGGGCTCCAGCCCCGCACAAGCCCCAGAGGCTGCGGGAAGCACTGAGTGCAGACGAAGGCCGTCCCCAAGCCTGAGTCTGGGGGTTGGTGTTCCAGCGTGGCCTGCACTGTGCATCCGGGACCTCGGTGTCTGCAGAGCTGGGGTGAAGTGGGCTCCGCTCGGGAGCCCAGCTCCATGGGGACCTGAGGTCAGCCTGAGGGACCCAGTACTGGCCATTTATGCGGCAGGGACTTCCTGTGAGGCAGGGCCCTGGGGAGGTGACGGCAGGAAGTGTTGGGCAGGGGAGGGAAGCCACTAATTTCAGGGTGAGCCTGGCTTGAGTACATTTTCCAGAGTCGCGTTCATTCTCCAGGATCCGCGGCCAAGGTTCGGGACTCAGGGGCCCTTGGATGTGGTCTCTGGAGGACACTGCCCCAGGGGACAGGCAGCTGGTGGCCGCACTCAGCCTGTGCTCGTGAGGCTCCTTGGGGACCCTAGGACTGGGGGGAGGAGCAGAAATGCAAGTGGGGCCTGGGATTCGGGTCTCAGACCCTCTGCCAAGCCTGGTCCTTGTCTGCTGTTGACACCAGCCCACCCCTCTGCCGTGGGGGAGTGTGAAGCCACCACCATGTGTCCCCAGGTGGGTGGACTCACCATCCTGTGTCCCTAGGTAGGTGGACTCACTCTTCGGCATGCCCAGGCTGGTGGACCTGGTCACCCTGCAGGCCTCCAGCTGGGCGGCTGTGCCCTGCTCCCCCACCTGGGTCCCCGATCCTGGCCATCCTTGGGTAGTCCCGACTCTCTGAGGATGAGAAGCTGTGGGCTCGTGGCCGCTCGGCCTCTGCCTGCCTGGACAGCCCCACATCCCCGCATCTGCGGCGGTGGGCCCGGGTCTTTGATGGACAAGTGGTGAGTGAACTGACCCACAGCCCCTGTTCCGATTCTCTGCATCTCCCCGTTTGTTTTGGTGAATGGATGGAATTCTAGATAATTCTTCCTCCAGCCTGTGGACGTGTTGCACACGGGTCCACCCGTGCTCTGCAATGGCGGCTCCGCGCAACTAGTGACATCTTGGGGGCCCGCATGCGCCCCAGGGCCTGAGCCTCTGCGGCTCCTCTCGCCCTGGCTGTGGGCACCTTCTCTGCTCCGCCTCGTGGTTGCTGGGCTCTGTCACGGCTCTGGACCCCGTCCTCAAAGCAACCAGAGGGGACAGCCGGGTCCAGGAGTGGCCGCGCCAACAGCGCTGGGTTAAGACGCAGGCGGCGGGCCATGCCTGGCGCATCCTCGGTCGCACGTAGGGGCATCCACGTGGCTCCTCCCGAGGCTCGGGAACTGCAAGGCCTCCACGTCCTGGTTTTCACCCATGGCGTCCGTGGCCTGCAGGCGGCCCCGTTGTCTCTTAGGTCTGCACATGGTCTCAGCAGCCCTGGAAAGCGTCCAGCCGGGTCTTGGGCCGAGAGCTCGTGAGTGCATTTCTCACACCCGTGGGTCTGTCAACCACGACCTGACCAGCCCCGGAGACTCCTTCCTCCAGACCCAAGATGTACCGTCCCCATTGCATGGCAGGCCCTTCACAAACGCGGGCTTCACTGACGCAAAGGAAGCTGGTTACTGAGACCAGGCCAGCTCTGCGCTTTTCCCGGGAAATGCTGCCCCAGGTGGGCCTGAGGTTGCTGACCTCCCCAGACTGAGGGTCTGCGGACCCTTCACTGCATCATGGCGCTGGGACTGCAGGAGACTGCGTCGCCCCGTCTCTGGCTCTCGCTAACACATCTTTTGAAACAATTCAACCACAGCTGCCCGGTAGCAGCTCTGCTGTGTATGTGTCCTCTCCCCCGCGACCGCTCTGTCCCGAGGCTGAGCCCTGCATGCAGCCTCCCCCATCCCCAAGCAGCCAGCCCACTCGCCCTCTCGTCTTCCTGCTTCCTCCCTCCTGAGGCCGTTGTCTTCCTGACGGACAAAGCAAGGAGAAGTGACATGTGAGGCTGGACGCAGCCCGGGCACGAACTCAGGTCTCACGGGATGACTCGCCCCGTGGGCTCTGTGCCCCCTTGGGGCCCGGGGCCTTGGCCTTCCGTCCTGCCCCATCCACGAGCCGCCACCCGCTCTCGAGAAGCAGGTGAGGAGCCACGTCCTCGAGCACAGCGTCTGGGGCAGGAGGGGCCATGAGCGTCTGGCCAGCGGCTGAGACCGCGGAGCATAGCGGAGCCCAGAGGTGGTGCTGGTAGAGGCCTGTGCTCGTGGGGGAGGACTCTTGAGCGGCCTCTGGTGGACGGACATCAATTGGATGGTCCAGGGGTCTTCTGATTCCTCCCACAAGCTTCACAGTGAGCTTCTGTGCTGGCAAGAGCATCTTAGTCCTCCATCTAGGGGCGATCACTGTTCCCATCCGATGTGACTGTCCCCTGCCTTCGACAAGGTCATGGTTTATTTTAATCTATTTTAACTTTGAGCTGTTTTCACTTGTCGTCGTCTAAGGTGCTAAGGAGGTAGTACCCGCACATGATGGCCAGAGAACAGACTAGACAGTAAGCCAGTGATGAGCATAACACAGTGTCTGCTAACGCCAGGCATGATGAGGGTGCTGAGATGTCTTGTCAGCCCAGGGCAGCCCCTGTGACCCACAGACCTGGTTGCTAATGGGGTGGGACCTCCCCCGGGCGCAGAGCAGGGGTCTCATCTACAGCTGCGTCTCCCGGTCCCTCTCCCAGGCTCTGGGTGTTCTCACCCAACTCCTGCCCAGCGGTGCTGATGGTGGCCAGCCGCCGGCACGCACATACCCTCTCCCACCTCACAGCCCCTCTGTGCGGTGCAGCAAGGTTGGGGCTGATGCAGCTGGGCCCGGGGGCGCCCAGGCCAAGCGCAGGGTGGGGTGCTATCCAGGCCGCTGGGGGGAATGAGACCGGAGCCGGCAGGCCTGAGCGCAGGTCTCCGGCCAGAATCCCCACTGCCCTGTGCTGTGACTCTCTTTATGCTGAACACGGCCCTGGACCAGCACGCCCAGGCCACCCTGCAGGAGGTCGGCCAGCTGCTGGCCTGGAGACCACCTGGGGCCTGAGCCCACCTGTGCCTGTGGGTGTGTCTTCACAGAGCAGGATGTCATAAGAAGAAAAGAGATGAATCTGGCTGTGTTTGCCTTTTGGAAAGAAATAGATGCTTTTCATTACGACACAATATTAAGAAAAGACATGGAACCCTTGCGCCTGCTGACAGCTAAGGGTTTGGTAACTCCTCCCGGTTGCCTGCCTGGTGCCTCCTTGGGATCCTGGAGGGGCAAGGAGACCCGCGGTCACAGGCTGTACCTGTCCCCCTGGCTGGCAGGTGGGGACTTCCCGCAGGCCAGCACCCCGGCGGACAGGTGGGCTCCAGCTCCTCCTCTGGGCAGCACGGGGGTCTGGAGGCAGCCTGTGTGTGGAGGCAGGTGCCCAACCCTGGGGGCAGAGGGACCCCAGACTGTGATGGGAGGACACCCAACCCCTCACACCCAAACAAGCCTGACATGGGATCACGAACCCAAGCCTGGGCTCAGAGGTCAGCAGCGTGAGTCCACACCCCCCAGGGGCTCTGGTCACCCCAGCGCCCAGCACACAGGTCCACCCCGGGTGCTCCCTGCCAGCTCCTCCCGCAAACAGCCCACAGCTTCCGGGGCAGACTAGCAGGTCGGCTCCAGGGGACTGCATGGACAGAGGGGGTGCCGTCTGCGTGGCTGTGGGGACAGGGTGGGGTGTCGTCCCTCCATGCCCCCCATCCCAAGCACAGGGTGTCCTCAGGAGCCAGGTGCTGGGCTGCATGGGCCTGGCCTGCACACAGGCTGCCTGGGAGCCCACCCTCAGTGGACCACGCGGGCCCTCAGCAGACGAGCTCCCGAAGGTCACACCAGGCGTCCTGCAGCCCATGGGCCCAAACTGTGGGTCAGCACATGGGCTGGCAGCCCTCTCTCTCTCCCTGGAAGGACATTTTCAGTCTCATGCTGTGATGGGCCCCGATGGGGACTTGGGTGAGGAAGGGAGAGGGGTCACCAGGGGCCTGGGGTTGCAGGGGCTGGACTCGGCTGGCTGGCACATCTAAGCAGGCAGTGGGCAGGAGGACCAGGCTGTGTGCTCTATGTGGCCCAGCGGCAGGTGTGCAGGAGGGCAGGTGCCCGGCCCAGAGCCTGGATTTGACTCCAGGGCTGCAGGAGACCCAGCGTGGTGTCTGCAGAGACGATTGCGGCTTCGTGAGGCACTTGCAGGATGCATGGCCAGGCCAGGGGAGCCCATGGCCCCAGCTGCCAATCAGAGGCCCCCTACCCCATCCTGGGCCTGAGGGGCTGTGCTTGGTATTGTGGGGGGTGGACCCCAGTGTCCTCACCAAGGAGGCGGCTTCTGAAAAACATCAAACCCACTGTGAACAGCTGGAACCCTCCATACACAGCAGAAAATCCTGATTCTGAGATTCCCATCAAAAGTGCCCTGAAAAGTGGGGACTCGGTAAACGCGAAAGTGTCTGACGCCACCCTGCTTTCAGCGCTTGTTCTCATCGAGCACAGTGTAGGGAAAAGACAGTGTATCCAAAATTTCAGCAGGAGATGATCGCTGTCGAAGATGTAAAGTTGCTTCCGTTTCAGCATCTTGCTTGATTTGCGCTACTGCCGCTAGCGTGCGTGCTGAGTCGCCTCAGCCGTGTCTGATTCTTCGCGACCCCATGGACTGGAACCCAGCAGGCTCCTCCGTCCATGGGATTCTTCAGGCAAGAACACTGGAGTGGGCTGCCATGCCCTCCCCCAGGGGATCTTCCTGACCGAGGGATCAAACCCTAACCTCTTATGTCTACCTGCATTGGCAGGTGGGTTCCTTAGCACTAATACCACCTGGGAAGCCTCATTAGAGGATTAATTAATTCCTACTTGTTGAAAATACTTCCTGAGAACTATCAAGGGCCTTGGCTAATTAGGAAATTTAGGTTTGTGAAGAGTCAGTTCAGAGTCTTACTAAGTAGTGTTCCCACTGAACTGCTCCTGGGTCCACGTGACTACAGCTGGGTATTTAGGGGAACTGCTGAAAAGAAAAACGTCACATAGCCTCTCACTGATGACTGTGCAGGAGCTGTGGCTGGGCATGCGGCAGCGTGGCGGGGGCAGGGTCCGGAGGGCTCACCTGTGGCCTCTGGACAAGGGTGACAGGGTCTCTGGCCAGGAAGGGGCGGTGTGGGGTGTGGAGACTGCCAGGCCTGCTGCTCACCAGATTGAACAGGACTCTGCCTCCCTCTTACCCACGAAGTGAGGACTGACACTTTGCAGTTACACATGATCTGTGCTCCCGTTGTTCTCTCTGCAGCACCAGGAGGGGGGTGGGCCGGCTGTGGTTCTCATCTGGCTGGCTGAGCTGCGGCTGGTCCCCTGCTGGCCCCAGGTGGCCCATCCAAGCCTGAGCTGGGGAATGGTGCCCGGGTGCATCATCTCCTGGAGTTCCCCTCAGGGCACAGCCCTCTCCTCTCCTTTTTCCACAAAGTGTGGTGTCAGAATCCGTCCTCACTCCAAAGCCGACACTAGCTTCCAGGCACCTAAGGAGCTAAATGGGGCTCCCCTGGTGCCTCAGACGGTAAACAATCTGCCTGCAATGCAGGAGACCCAGGTTCCATCCCTGGGTCAGGAAGACGCCGTAGAGAAGGGCATGGCAACCCACTCCACTGCTCTTGCCTGGAGAATTCCGTGGAGGAGCCTAGAGCTACAGTCCCTGGGGTTTCAAAAAGTCAAACACGACTGAGCAACTAACGCACACAGGGAGCTAAACACATGAACGGTGAACTCTGCCCATGGGAGGGTGGAGCCCTGGTGGGACAGAGATCTCGGGGAGTGAAACACTGAACATGCAGACCTGGGGGCCCACGGTGACCCCGGAGACAGAATCTTCATTCAATATGATGAACAAATCAGCACTCACAAAGTGCGCAATGGAACAATATAATCAATGCAAGTAAATGATAATAAAACTTGTAAATATGTTAGAATAGCTTTTGTTGGCAAACGATATCAAAGAATTCTTAAAACTCTCTAAGAAAAAAATATGAAATTGGTTGTTCTTGGAGAATGCCAGTGAACCAAGTTGTTTACTTTAAAAAAAAATTTAACAGATAAACAAAGGGAAAGAATCGAGTGCTAATATTGTCTTTCCTAGATGGATAGGAACAAGGTGGGTGGGGTCCTAGGAGGGCCCTTAAGCTTCCCCTCTGTCCCTGATCCCAGCCCTGATCCCAGCTGGGTGGACCCTGGGTGTCCAGGGTCAGGGCCTGTGTCCAGGGGCAGGGCTTCCCTGAGATCTGGGGATGTTGAGGGCCACTCTCCCACGCAGGCTTCAGACCTTCCTGGACACTGTCCCACTGGCTCCAGCCACACCCAGGTCCTCAGACGCCTCTGCCGGGTCCCCAGTGTGAGGTCACACCTCCTTCCCCATCTGCCCAGCAAGGCCTCAGCACATCCAGCATGTCGCACAGGACATGCAGCTGAGACACAGGTCTCACTGGGGAAACTGAGTCAGAAGGGAGAGAATCCCGGGGACAGACATGGTCTCAGAGCCCCAGGTCAGGGGTGCGGGGCCCGGTGGGGCCTCTGTCCAGGGGGCTGAGTCTGAACGCTGCTCGGGTCCTGAGAAGCCCTCTCCCCTTGTTTCCACAATTCGCAGCTGAGAAGTTTCTTGGCCGTATCGTTTGTAAAGAGGAAAGAAATGGGAACAACACAGAAACCATGAATAAGAAGTAGTTGAACCATGGTGCAGATTGTGGACGGTTCTCCAGCCTTCCAGATCAAATGTCATGAAACTGCCATGGTGGACTTCACGGGGCAGCCAGAGACCCCCTCTCACACTCAGCTTTGGGTCCCGCCAATATCACAGTACTGTCTTCTGAGTGGGCCCAGGGCAGGACGCTAATGTGGGTCTCATGGCTTTTCTCCCATGAGTTCTCATCCTCAGGCAGATCCCATGAGGAAGAAGCCACAGGCCTAGCCAGACTGGACACCTGCCTGCCCCTCCGCCTGGACATGGCCAGCCCAGCCACGGTGTTCTGACCAGAGCTGCTGCCCATGTGAAGCCTTGGCTGCCGCAGAGAGGAGCCTGGAGCTCTTGCCAGAAACTTCGGCCACTGGGTTTCCCGGTTCCTGCCTGGGGGCGGGCCTCGCTGAGCAGTGGAAGCCCGGGTGCTGCACTGCGGCCTCTGAGTGCCCACAGGTGCCTGGGGGTGATCACCGCCCCCAGAGGGCTCCCTGTGCCCCACACTACCCAACACCCGCCCCCCAAGGCAGCAGCCCCAGGAGGCAAGGGCAGAGGCTGCAGATGGGTCCCCCGAAACGCAGAGAAGGACACCCTTGTGCAGACCCTCTCTGAGCCCCATCCTGGGCCAGGCGGGGCCCTGTCCCTGAGACAGCGTGCTGGACACTGCGGACAGGGCAGCTCCCTTTCCCAGTGGCCTTCAAGGCTGGCCTTCACGTGCAAGGCCCACTAGTTTCCCAGAAAACAGGCCTCGCCGAGCGCGACAGGACCCGAGCGCCCGGAGGAAGGCATGGGGCTGAGCCGCCCATCCACGGCCAGCTCTGCCCCAGGGGACGGAGGACACTCAGGCCTTTGAAAGTGAGCGGCCGGCGCGGGGCACGGCCGGGCGACAGCTGGCAAGTTGTGGCCGCCTCGGGGACACGAGCCGGAGCAGGGGGAGGGAGGTCGGGACTCCCTGAGGTCCGATGCGGAGGGCCGGCAGAGGCCCACGTGTGGTCGTCACTCAAGGGCCCCGGCGCCCGGGAGGGCGTGCAGGACGCAGGGCTGGGGCCAGGGAACACGACCCCGGCAGGAAGCTGTTGCAAGTGGGGGCTGAGTCCAGGGGGGATTTAGATCAAAGGCCTGCAGCTGCGGCCGCCTGGGGAGGGCGCGTCCTCGTGGCCACGGGCTGGGGAGGGCTGCAGCAGCTGAGCGGGGCCCGGGAGAGACCTCAGCAAGCAGCTCACCGCGTCCTCGGGGTCCACCCTGCAGGGCTTCTTTCCCCAGGAGCATTGCCACTCAGCCCACCCTCCCGGCTCTGGGACCCTGGGCGGCAGGCTGCCCGGGCGCCCGTTAAATGCCCGTGGGCTCTGAGGTGCCGCTGTCCACTTGGAAGCGGCTCCAGGCTTAGGGAGCATCAGGGGAGAGGGCGTAAGTCACCACCTTCACGGCTCAGTTCCAGCCTCTGTGAAATCGGCTGATCGGGAGGATCGTGTGGCCGCCTCCCAGGAGCAGAGACCAGGCCCAGGGCTGTGGGAGTCCCGGCTCTCCCTGCAGAAGCACCACGCTGGCTCCACGCGGAGGAGATGCAGGTTCCCGACCACTTGGCCACCCAGGATGGGCCCTGAGTCTCGCCGAGTCCCGTCTGCCCCGAGGGGCCAGCAGAGCCTGCGGGAGTCAGTCGGCTGCCATGAGGACAAGGGGCTCCAGCCTCGGGAGCCCCCAGGGTGCTCCGTCTGGTGGGGACCCCGGGCTTCACACCCAGGTGCCCGGGGCATTTGGTGACGAGAGGGCGTCTGCCCCAAGCAGAACGGGGCCGTCAGAGGCACGAGTCGGGGGGCTTGGCAGGGGGTGCACATGGCAGGACCCCAGGCTGGTGTCCCCTGTGTCTGTGCTCAGGGGGCCTGGGGTCCAGGCCTGGGAGGCCAGGCTCGGACGAGGACCAGTGCAAGTCTCCCAACAGCTCTCGTGGGCCCGGCAGAGGCCACACGGAGACCCTGGCCCAGAATCAGCCTCAGGACCTGGGAGCATCGGCCGCTGCGGATGGGTCTCAAGACCCCGTCGCAGACCAGACGCAGACCCGGGAGCCCCGGGTGTCGTCCTCGCTGGACAGGGTCCCCCTGCCTCCCCTGGACAAGAACTTCGGTGAGAGGGGTGACCCTGTGTGCTGCTCCCGGGACTGCAACCACTGGCAGGGGAATTTGGCCTCAACCTGGTTCAGGGAGAAGCTATGAGCGGGACAGCCCTCGAGGTCAGCTGCGCTGCAGACGATGCTGAGGGCCGGGGCAGCCCTGGGGCAGATGAAAGAGGCCCATCCACCTGCCAGACTGCCCCTGAGAGTTAGCGGGCTGCAATGCGACGTCTCGTCCCAGTGCCTCCTTGGGAAGAAACACAGAGCTGATCTGACCCCCAAGGAAGACCCCAAAGCAAGTGTCCCCACCTGCCCCTGAAGAGGGAACACTCATACAGCATCAAAGACCAAAGTATCGAAATTTCAAGATGGCCCATGGGAGGGACGTCTGGGTGGGTGGATGCCGGTCTGGGTGGGTGGACGCCGATCTGGGGGGTGGGCGCCAGTCTGGGTGGGTGGACGCCAGTCTGGGTGGGTGGGTGCCAGTCTGGGTGGGTGGACGCCAGTCTGGGTGGGTAAATGCCGGTCTGGGTAGGTGGACACCGGTCTGGGGGGTGGGCGCCAGTCTGGGTGGGTGGACGTCCCCTCCCCATCCAGTCCCCACCGCGTCCACTGTGCCTGAGAGAGGTCTGAGGTCTGAGCCTCAGAGATGGCACCCGGGCTTCCCGAGGATGAGGCTGTAAGCCTGCTGACAGGGTGCAGGGAGCAGGGGATCCGCCACCTTCCTTCCCATCTCAGGTCATCTCTGCTTCCTCTTTACAGCCACCTGGCTGGAGCTGGGTGGGATGTGCATGCCGGGGGGAGGGGTGCTCAGAACCCCAACAGCGGTGGCTGAGCTGGAGTCACAAGAGCCGATCATCGTGTCAAACCTGGGAACCTGAAGGAAGTGGCGCCACCTGGGTCTCGGCCCTCCAGTCTCAGTGGACACGACTGTGCCCACCCACCACAGCCGCTGCAGCCTGGGGCCGACTGACCCCGCAGGTCTCGTCCAGCAGGCCTGGGCCGGGAGCCCCGGGCTCCATGCGGCCAGCGGGTGCTGCGCTCAGGCGCAGCTTGCTGACTGCCTCAGGCTCGTGTCGACCCCTCCCTCGCCCACAGTGAGGGGCAGTGTCCCCCCTCAGGCCAGGGGGAGGGCCGGGGGGACCTGGGCTCACCCACCTTGCTTCCCAGCCTGAGGAGGAGGTGGCACCAGGACCCACACTGATTCTGAGGGTTTACCTCCTTTGAAGGATGTTTTCTAGGCTTCCTGACTTCTTCAGAATTTTTATTTTTTTGCCTTGAAAGTCATGCAACCTGGCTATTTTGAGACAAAGAGAGTTACTTTGCAGATATTATTTGGGGCAAACAGCATAGGCTTGAGGGCTTTGGAGGCAGACAGGTCCATGTCTGTGTGAGTAACTCATCACCCAGAGGGGTGGGACGCATGACCACCAAGGACAGGGGGCAGAGAGGACCCCCCACCCCTGATGAGCTCCTGGGTCCTGAGTTCCTCTCAAAGAGAAAGAAAGCTGACCCTGGCAGGAATCACCCGGGCCAGGGAATGTGGGACAGGGCAGCGTGTTACGGGTAGAAGCTTTAAGTGCTGAATGCACAGTTCATCGTCTAAGAGCAAATGGAAGTCCAGGCTCTGAGGCTCAGCAGTCATCCCCGCCCAGGGAGGCTGATCTTGTCTTTCAGGGAAATGGGCCCCGAGAGGCCCGGCAGCCTCTGTGGCCCCTGCTGCCCGGAGAGGAGGAGACGGTGGTGTCTGCACCTCTTCCCGGGGCTGCACCGCGGCACCCTCTCTGTGAAGGGCCAGCGTGGACCTCGGAGGGCTGCACACGGGGAACGGGAAGGGACCCCGCTCCCCTCTGATGACCTGACGCCTCCATATGAGGAAGCGAAGCCAAGGGAGGGAAGGGCAGCCCCCAGGGCCTCAGCCGTTGGCCCAGAGGGTCGTTGCTGCCCCCAGGCTGGGCTGGGCCCCGGGCAAGGGGGCACAGACAGGGCAGAGGAGCCCCTACGAGCGCAGCGTCCAGTGTCCCCAAGCTGCCCACCCCCGCTGAGATGCCTGAGGGGCTGCTGTCACAGCTGGCTCCCTCGCGGGCTCTGGGGCCCAGGGGGTGAGAAGCTCCGTCAGGTTTGGTCCGAAGTCCTTCCTTCCATCCTGAGACGATGGCCCTCCACCCCCCACCAGGCCAAACAGAGTGGCGTCTGTCCCTCAGAGCCGGGGCCCAGCCATCTCAGCCTCTCTGTGCCCTGGGGTCCCCACGAACCCCAGAGAGGAGCCGTGTTGCTCCCCACCACCCTGACTGCTCTGACCACCCACTTGAGGAAAAGGGAGGCCTGTGGGGTTGGCCAGGGCAGGAGGCGGCTGCACTGACGGCTGGGGAGCCCAGCCACGTGCCAGTGGGTGGGGAGATGCCTGCCCCAAGATGGGATACAACCCCTCCAAGACAGTAGCCTCCGTCCTCCTGGGCAGGGAGGGAATGAAGAACAAGAATCTGGTGCCCCTGCCCCAGCACCAGCAGGACCCCAGCCTCAGCTCCAGGCCGGCCCACGAGGAGGTTCGTGAGGGAGCAGCGGGCCTCCGGCCAGGGCTCCCAGGCTCTGCCTCTGAGTGGCGGGCAGGCTCCCACAGGAAGGTGCTTCCTCAGAAGCCTCTTCTGAGACCGCCCGTGTTCCCTGCCAATCAGGACGCATGTCCCCTCGGGTGGGGCCGCTCCTCCCTGGCTGTCACAGCCTGCAGTAATTCTTCTTTGAATCGGGCTTGTGTGATGTGCTAGAGGACATTAGCTTGTATTTGTTTTACTGTATTGAAAACAGATGAAACATCAATTGATCCATTGGCCCTTTGGGGTTACAAGCAAAATCATCTGAAAGGCCTTTTAAAATACTTAATTAAAACTGCTTAGGTGGTTAAAGATGTGCTGAGGGGGTTCTGTGTAAATCAAAGGAATAACAACAAAACAACAAAAGAAACCCATGAACAAGTAACTGTCAAGATTCATTTATTCAGTACCAAATTCAGAAAACATGGGCTCTGAGCCTGGCCCATCAGGACGTCCCACGTCTGGTACCCACTCACTCTGTAGCCTGGGAACCCAGGTTTTCTCTCTTGCAGGGCCGTTGGGGGCATTCAAAGAGCTAACATCCATCTGAAAGGGAAGAAATGTTTATATATAGCGTCAGACTAGAAGGGATATAAGGGGCCTGCACTTGATGAGTGATCATGAGTGTTACTTACTGCTATTTCCAGTAAGATCACTGCAGGTATTATGTCTGCTTAAAAACTGCCAAATGTCTGTCCCACAAAAAGTACTGTCTTAACTAATAATGTATTCAGGAAAGTTTTAGGATACAAAAGCAAAACACAAAATTAAGTTTCCATTTCTATACTAATAATGAACAATCCAAAAAAGGAAATAAAGAAAAACGTCCAATGACAATATTATCACAAAGGAATAAAATATGTAGAAATAAACTTAGCCAAGGAGGAAAAAGACTTATACATTAAAACTAAAAAATATTGCTGTAAGTAAAGACAACCTAAATAAATGGAGCATAGATGTGTTCATGGGTCAGAAGAATTAAAATTGTCAAAATGTTAATAATACCCAAAGCAATCTATAGATTAAATGCAGTCTCTATCAAAATCCTTATGGTATTTTTGTGTAAATAGAAAAAAATCCATCCTAAAATTCTCATGGAGTGTCAAGGAACCTCAAATAGCCAAAACAACCTTGAAAAAGAGTGAAGTTGGCGGCCTCACACATCCTGATTTCAAAACTTACTACAAATAAATAATAATCGAACTAGTATAATCCTGGCAAGACAGAAAGACAGACATACAGACCAATGGAGTAGAGAGCCCAGAAATACATCCTTGTGCACATGGTCAAATTGTCTTGACAAGGCAGCTAAGATGGCTCAGTGGGAAACAATTGTTTCTTCAATCAATTCTTCAATATTTACATAGCACAAAAAAAAAAATGAAGAATGAATGAAGAATGAAGTTGGGTTCTTATGCTACATGTAAAAATTAAACTAATCAGAGACATAAATATTAGACCCCAAACTATAAACTTCTAGTAGAAAGCATAGAGTGAAGGACATTGGATTTGGCAAGAATTTCCTGGATATGACACCAAAAAGTAAAAATAGATAAGTTGGACTTCATCAAATTTAAATTTTCCATCAAAAGATACTACCAACAAAGCAAAAAACAACCTGCAGAATGAGAAAATATGTTTGTAAATCATCCGTCTACTAAAGAGTTAAGATCCAGAATATATAAAGAATGCCTACAACTCAACAACAACAAAAAACAACTTTATTTAAAAATGATCAAAGGACTGAAGCAGACATTTCTCCAAAGAAGACATACAAATGGTCAACAGACACATGAAAAATGCTCAGTATCACTAATTATCAGGGAGATCCAAATCATATCCACAATGAGATAACCCCTCACGCCTGTTAGGATGGTTACTATAAAAACAAGGACTTTCCTGATAGTCCAGTGGTTAAGAGTCTGCCTTGCAATGTAGCTTCAATCCCTGGTTGGGAAAATAAGACCCCACATGTTGTTCAGTTGCTAAGTTGTGCTGGACTCTTGGCGACCCCGTGGACTGCAGCATGCCAGGCTCCTCTGTCCTCCACTGTTTCCTGGAGTTTGCTCCAACTCATGTCCACTGAGTCGGTAATGCTATCTAAACATCTCATCTTCTGGCACCCTCTTCCCTTTTTGTCTTCAATTTTTCCTGGCAACAGGGTCGTTTTACAATGAGTTGGCTCTTCACATCAGATAGTCAAAGTATTGCAGCCATCGTGTTAGAGAACCCCATGGGAGGTATGAAAAGGCAGAAAGAGCTCACACTCCAGGGAGCAACTAAGCTTGTGCGCTGCAACTGGAGAGCCTGGGCATTGTAGCTAAGACCCAACGCAACCAAATAATTAAAATAAAATTTAAAATAAATAAATAAAAAGCAACCCCCCAAATGACAAGTGTGGTGAGAATGTTGAGAAACTAGAATTGTGCACTGTTGGTGGGATTGTAAAATGGTGCAGATGCTGTGGAAAACATAGTGTTGTGGTTTCTGGAAAAATTAGACATAGAATCGTCATATGATCCCTCAGTTGCCCTGCTGGTTATACACCCAGAAGAAATGAAAGCAAGGTCTCTGTGTACCAGTGTATAGAGTTGTATTGTTCACTCTTGCTAAAACATGAGAGCACCCAAGTGCCTGCTGACAAATGAATGGGTAAGCAAAACATAGTCTATGGATGCAATGGAATATTACTTAGGAATACTAAAAAGGGAGGGTTTCAAAAACAAACAGAAAAGACATCAGAGTTGTGGTTACCAGGGGTGGGAATTAGATGAACGTGATTGAAAGGTACAAACTTCCAGTTATAAGACAAGTAAGTAATGTGTTTGCAATGTGCAACATGAGTAATATAGTTAACACTGCTGTGTGTCATAAGTCAAAATTGTTGAGACTAATCCTGAGTTCTCATCACAAGGAAGAAATATTTTTTCTTTTTCTCGTATTTTATGTCTGTATGACAAGATGGATGTACATGAACTTTACTGTGATGATCACTCCATGGTGTACGTAAGTCAGACTACTACATTGTACGCCTCCAACTGACCCAGTGCTGTTTGTCAGTTGTATCTCAACATAACTAGAAAAGATAAAAACAGTAAAGAGGATGAAAAACAAATTAAAAGGAAGGAAATCTGCAACATGCTACAACATGGATAGACGTTGAGGACATTATGCAAGTAAAATTAGCCATTTACAAAAAATCCGAGTGCTGCACAATTCAGCTGGTTTACAGTACAGACCAGTCAATGCCCAGGGTCAGGGTGCTTGCCAGGGGTGGGGCGGGGAACAGCTGCTGTTTTCTAAGGAAGGTTTCAGTTTTGCAAGATGAACAACTTCTGGAGATGATTGCACAACAGTGAGAATGCCTGAACCGTACACTTAGAAACAGTGAGGACGCATTTTTAATATTGTGCATTTTTTACCACCATGAAAGAAATTCCTGAGAGCCTGCAATAGGCACTGGGTACACACAATGAAAGCTCGTTCTTGCGTCAAGGATCTCCCCACTTACGAAAGGTGCGGACTTTGGGGCAAGCAAGCCTTGCTGCCTGGGAACACCACCCGTCCCTGGGGCAGCAGGCTGCTCAGAGACCCCAGGGTCCTCCCGATGAGGAGACCATCATCTGGGTTTGTGTAGATCCTAGCAGTGAGAGAGTGCTGTACATGTGTGTGTTGCACAGTGTTAATGTCGTGTTAATGACAACATTAATGTCGAGGGGGCATCACGTGCAGTTCAGGGCAGGTGGCCCCACGATGTAGGCCCCACACCTGGTCTAACACCCGCATCACACGGTTTTGAATTGAACCCACAGTCTCATGCTGCACTGCGCTCGTGGGTCAGGAGGCGGACCTGCTTGGATCCCTGCCCTGTGTCCGAAAGGAGGCAGCGCCCATGACAACAGTCCTCGCAAGGAGCTGAAGCCGGGGGCCTCACAGGGATGCTGCTCCTGGGGGTACTAGCCAACATCGGGGACGGACTCGGCCATCCCCCCAGAGGGTGACACGGCTGAAGTCCAGGGTCCAGTCCAGACCCCAAGGCAGCCTTGCAGGCTCCTCGGCAAGTGCAGGCTCCCCCTGCAGGGGGAGTGCCTGGGGGCGGCCCCGTTCACGCGGGCCGAGTGGTCCAGGGCCTGGTCTGGGGGCCGTGGGAAGGAGTGGGTGGGTGGGACGTTATCATCACTGATGCTGAGTCCTATGGGTACAGCCGGGGGGCAGGTTCACCGCCATGCTGGGCGGATAGGATCCCAGGGAAAACTATCATGGGGTGGGCTCGGGCCACTGGGGACTCTAGAAACCGCATTTTCCTGAGAGTGACAAGCAGATGGTCACAACCAAGTGGTCAGTATGTCTCGGCCCATGTCAGGACCCCACAATGAGGCCTGGATGTGCCAGGGGCATCTCTCCCTGGATGTGCCGGGGGCAACTCCCCCCCCCCCGCCCACCCCCAGGTGAAAGCCAGAAGCCGCCTGAACATCAGCATGACCAAGGGCCATGCGTGGCCTCAGCCGAGTGCCCCTCCCAGCCACTGGGAAGGCCCTGTGCACCTTGTTTATTCTCAGGGAAGCACCAGCAGCCCTGTGCCCAGCTTGTGACTAAGCAGCAAGAGTTTATGCTCAAAATAGATGTTGTTTACGATCTTCCCCTCCCCCGGCTACCCTAGGAATTTCTGATGATTTCTTTATACAAGCTGATGCCTATCGCCACCACCGCCACCCACGGGCCTGAGCCCCAGGGAGGTAATGAGCTGGGATAGTCCTTGTCTTTCTTACTGATTACTGCGTATTAAGCTCCAGCACGGAGCAGAGCCTGTTTCCCGCAGCCTTTTTCATCTCCCGACGTGTGTGACGTGCATGTAATGATGGAGCATGCTAATTTACACTGCACCACAGGGCTGCCAAGGGAAGTGCTGCCCTCCTCAAGGGCCCTGGGGAACTGGGAGGGGTGCAAAGGGGGTCAGGAGACCCCAGGAGAGGCAGACAGCAGTCCTTGGAGGCATCCAGTCTCGGGAGAGGTGGATGAAACCACCGGGGCGGAGTGTTTCCAGGAGCGAGGCTGGTGTGTCTAAACAGGAGACCAGACCCACAGCTTTGCAGCTGCTCTA